AATCATTAAAAATTGTTAATTGACTTAATGATTTATTAATAAAATTGGCAATTTGTTATGAAATTAGAAACCTTAGGGGGTAGAATGTAATTTTTAGAACCACAAGGGACGATTCGTATTTTAATTAAATCTCAGAAGTGTATTTATAATTTATCCTTTATATAATAGTATAGATAACACGATACATGTGAGATTGACAAAATTCATTTTGGAAGTTGAATTTACAGTAAAAACAGGTTGTTTAGTTTGGTTTTTCAGAATTTATTTTTAAAAAATTGATTTTTTTTTAATATTCTAAACAATTTTTTTAATTTTTAGATATATCTAACCTAAATACACTTAAAAAGTATAATTTTTGTGAAAAAAATCTTTAGAAAATTCATTAAATATCAAAAATAAAAAATACGAAAATTCAGTAAAATTTTCGTATTTTTGTATATTTATTGATTTTAAATTTTTTTTTACAAATATTTTACTTTGTAGATACATCTAAGTAAGTTGCATTTAAAAGGTAAACAAATTATTTAAAATTTTAAAAATATTCACTAAAAAAAAAACACAAAAAATAAAAAACTCAACTTTTAAATAATTGAATATAAAAAATAAAAACAAAACACAATAAAAAATATTATAAATTATCAAATCATTCTTTTTATTTTCTATACCTCTATTTATAAAAAAATTAAAATTAAAATACTACTAAAATAGCTGATTATCAGAGACAAACCTTTGGGCGTTAGGGACAGGTAGGGAGTTGAACGACGTGACGTGGTATCTACGTGGAAAATACAAAAAAAAATGTTAGATTTTAAAAATTTTATAACATTTTTACTAAATATCTCACATAGATGTAGGATTTACATAGAACTATATGAGACATTTAGGGTTCGCTTGGCATTGGCTTTTTTAACTAACTTTTTTGTGTTGAGACTTTTTTAGTATAGCTTTTTTAGCCTCGTTTGGTTTTGTTTGGGGATTTTTTTGATTTTTGTGAGAGAAAAAGTGTAATAATTATAGATAAAAGGTAATATTTTATCTTATTGACTTATAACTTTTTTTGTCTTTTTATAATTATTTAACTCCAAAATATTAGCCAAACCATGGCTTAATAAAACTTTTGAAAAAAAGACTGAAAAAAATTTCGTACTTTTAAAACCCCCTTATAATTATAAAATTCTATATGAAGGACAAAATTTGTTATTTGAATATTTTATTTGACCATTATACCCTCTTTTTCTTTTATCTCTTTTACAGCACACACTCTCTCTCTCTCTCTCTCTCTCTCTCTCTCTCCACTAACTCGATGGTTATTCATCGTCACCACCATCTTCATCGTCTATCAATATCGCTCATCCTCATCGTCAGCTGACAACCACCATTTTTTATGGTTAAACACCACCATCTCAGATTTGATACCTACGAATTCATATTTAAGATCAATAACTTCAAATTAGAGATTAAAAAAAAACTTAAATTTGACAGAAAATGAGAAATCGAGATATTGCAATAAAAAATTAAGAGTTTTTTGTTTGTTTGTTTACAGATCTAAAAGTAAAATTTGACTCTGGTTCGTTTATTTAATATGTACTCTATTTTCGTTATAATAAAATTTTACTCCGGTTAACAACACACTGATCTGCTTAATGACAGCAAAAATTTACTTTGAATCATAATAAATTTTACTCTGATTCAGAGTAAAATTTTACTCTCTCTTTTTTTTAAATTATAGAGTAAAATTTTACTCATAAACAAGCTACAATGATGACTTTACAAGAGAGTTTTGTATCATGAACCAGAAAAAATTTTTTTTGAAATAATAGGGCATCATGAGAAGCAGAAAGAGAGATAGAGTTCGAAAACAGAGGATCAAGAGAAGAAGAAGAATGAAAGAGAGAAAGAGAGAGAGTGAGCATAAATGGTGAGTCTCACGCACGCTCGCGCGCACGCGCACACACACACACATATATATATAGAGAGAGAGAGAGAGAGAGAGAGTGAAGGATCTGAGATTTAAGGTTTGTGAATCGTTGCAAATCATCATTTTTCGGTGACGACAATTGTGAATGATCTCAAATCTAAAGTTGTTGATGCAACAAATGATGGTGGTAATGAAGACGGTAGAGAAAGAGTTCCATGGTGAGCAGCGGTGGTGCCGATGAAGAGAAGTGATAGCACCGATGAAGAGAATAGTAATTGTATGAATCGATTTCTGACCACACTGCCAAACTAGTATTCAACTGGAGAGCACTGGCAGAATAGATGGTGCCTGAATGTCCTGTAACAGAAAGATGAGACTCCTACGGTGGTTCGTCCATCCGGGGGCACTCCGACGATCAAGTCAGTTATCTCTCAAAGATAGCAAAAGTACTTAACTCACTATTCAGAATATAAAAAGCGTACCTTAGACCCATGTGGGTGCCTCCCTTTTATAGCCAACACTATCCTAGTCCCAATAGAATTCTAGCTTCAATAGACTTTGGATTACTGCTAATCTTGAACTCCCAGTAAGATTGGGATACTCTCTAAGAGTCTTATCTTTATCCAAACTGAAGTCTTCTCTCATTCTAGAACTCTTGTCTCTTATCTGCTTGTCCCGGATTCCGGTATCTTCGCAGATAATCTTGGCCTAGCCGAGATCATCTCGGCATCATGAGCAAGACACGTGGCACCACGGCTAGCACTTCAGTGACACCTCGGCCACGTGTCGTCATTCAAAATTTATGTCCCCACAACTAAGTGCAAGACAAAGAGAATAGAGATTGAGACGAGCGAGAGTGATTACAAGTTGATATATACACACACACACACATATATATATTAGGGCATTATAGTAGAAGAAATAAGTTTTAAAATATTTGAGTCTTTTGAAAGAATTTATATAATTCTTATTTTTTTGAAGGACAAGTTAGACATTGATGGGTCTATCACCAAATTCTTCTAAAAAGTAATATTTTATTTTATTAATTTATATAATTTATTTTATCTTTTTATAATTATTTAACTTCAAAATATTAGCTCAACCATGCCTTAAGTTTGGCATTCTCAAAAAAATCTAAAAAGTCAAAAAGTCACTATCTTATTTAAGTCACATCATCTTATTTAAGTCACATCACTTCTCTAACACATCACTTCAAACTCAACTCAAATCCAACCCATATTTCATAAAAAGTCAAAAAGTATACTTATTTAGTCTTCCCAAACTTAAAACTTTTGAATCTCTGTCATTCCTCAAATACAAAACAAAAGCGCACGTGCTTTCATATGAGCAAACCCACATCAATACCAAAAAAAAATAAAAAAAAACATTTTATCAAGTTTTTTATTAGATATTTTATGGGAATATGAGACTCCCATCATGTAATTCTTATGGGGGGTTTTTAGCAAGAAGAATTTCAACTTATTTTTTAAGTTAAACTTTATAAAAAGATAAAATTAAATAGTTAATAAGGTAAAATGTTATATCAAATTTATAATCATTTTATTTATTTATTTTTATAAATATCACATCTAATTATAAAAAAAATCTAATTATCTTTCTAAATATAAAAATTTTAACCTATTAAAATAATCAAAAATTAAAATAACCTACTAAAATAATAACTTTTCAAATGCTCGCTATGTAAATCCCACATCATATGAAATATTTAATAAAAAATTTAATAAAGCTCTAACTCTCTAGCATTACTCTCTCTCTTATAATGTTCTTGAGCCTATTTTCATACTCCTACCATTTTAACGTTAGTGTTTTGAAAAATCACTGCAAGCAAACAAATAAACAAACAATCAATAACAAGAAAAGGAAGCTTCTCATGAGAAGCTTCCTTTGACATTGCTTATGGTAATTAATTTTTTTATATTGAATTTTTTTAGCTTAATTTTTTTAATCTTTTTTGATTTTTATAAGAAAAAAATTGTATGATTATGATTTGAATGTAATATTTAATCTTATTAACTTATATTACCTATTTTGTTTTGTTTTTTGTTTTTATTTTTTTAATCCCAAAATATTTATCAAACAAGGAAGAGGTTGTTTAGAGTGTCCTAAATAAGTGTACTTTTTATCTTTTTAGAGTAAAAAGTTGAGGGAAAAAATATAAGTATTTGGGTTAATTTTTGACTTTTTATAAAAAAATGTGTATTAAAAAATTGTATAAATAAGTATATAGGAGAAGTTATAAATGGAATAGCCCGTACGGTCGGAAGCATGAGGGACAACGCAGCAGAGGGTATAGTGTAGGAGATTGAGGGGTTGTTTGTGATGATCTAAATAAGTGTACTTTTTATCTTTTTACGAAAAGATGTGCAGAAAAGTAGAGAGGTGATGTGATGGAAAAAAGATAAAAAGATAGATTATTTAGGGGATGTCAAACCACCCCTGATTCTCTCCTTTTTGGGCATAAATTGGACGGTGGTGTTCGGCCCATGGGGACCCACCACGGGTCTCGTTTTACTAATCGGAACCGTTCAATGTGTAGAACTCGTCGAGTGCTATATGTTTGTAAAAAATCACGTTGATTGGATATCAATAGCTATCTAATCGTGTTAGTTTTTCTTGTCAACTGTTAACTATAACACCATCCATTTTTTATACAAAACTGATTTGATATCTCATTTCCTGTTCTTTTCTTTCTTTTTGGTATCTCTCTCGTACCCATTTTTTATTTATTTATTTTTTTTTTCTCTCTACTTTTTGAGAGATTGTTTGACATTAGCTAATATAATCAATTTTTTTTGTTAAAACTTTTTTAATTTGATTTTTTTAGTCTCGTTTGATTTTTGTTTTGAGACTTCTTTGATTTTTATGAAAAAAAAATATAATAATGATCCCCCAACCCCCCCCCCTCTCACCCTCCACACACACGGGGTTGGTAATTGGGGAGAAGAAAAAACCCTACACACACGTGACGATTAGTGATTGAGAGGAAAAAAAAAAAAATTTGACAAATCAAAAGCAAAAGGGTCCGAATTTTTTCTTATTAATTTTATGGTCAATTTGTTCTAAAATGAATGGGTTGAATCTCGTCTTTATTATCTTACTGGAGAAGAAATAAGAGTCAAGTTGTGTATTGATTTTTTATTTTTTCCCCCTCAGTTTTCTCTGGAAACAAACGAGGGTATATGATTGTAGTGTGCTCGTTTTGAATCTCAATTAAGAAATGACAAGGGATTATGCAGATCCCAAATGGCATGCCAGGCCATTCATTCATGGACATAGTGGGTGTTTTCCTTGATCTAGCTATTGCTCATCTCTTACTCTATGCATCCGCTCTTGCATTTTTCGCCTCCAAATTTCTGGGTTTGTCGGGGCTTTCCTTACCATGTCCTTCTAATGGCCTATTTGGCAACGCCAATAGCAATTACTGCTTGAAGAGGCTGTTAATTGATTGCCCAATTGAGACAGTCTCTTCTGTTCAACTGCCTGTGAACACAAAGTTCCCCTTTCATTCAATTGGCGCGAAAAACCCAGATTGCCAATTGAATTTGAAGTTGATTAAAGATCAAACCAATTGTGTTGATGGGTTTGTTGAAATGGAAGGCGAAGTGTCTTGTAGCTCAATATCGGGTGCTAGGAAGTTGGAAAATGTGGATGAGAAGGACTTTATTTTGAGGAATGAGTTGGTTAGGGGGTTTGATGTAGTGGATTCATCAGTTCATGTCAAGAAGGGAGGGTTTGATCTCAAGGGTAAGGGGATTGTAAATCAGGAGGCCAAGGAATGGTTTTAGGCGACGTCGAAAAGGTCTTGCTGATTATGCAAAAGTTTCACCTGTTTCTTATGACCCTTCATATGCAAATGATCAGTCACATTTTAGCATTGATTGTAAAGGGAATAATGAGATTGAATGCAGTTCACTGCCTGTCGGCTCTGGAGCTGATGCTCATCACTTTAATTGTGAGTGTTGATTTCGATCTATTCTATCCAATTTTTTTATTTTTTTTTCATTTCATCCGAAACTTTGCACCTTAAGAAGAAGAAGAAGAAGAAGAAGAAGAAGAGAGGCATTAGTGTTTCATTTTGTGAACTCATGTATCTGTGTATTTTGTGTATGCACTTTCACATATTTAAAATCAACATAAGTTGTGCTATAATCTTACACAGCTGAAATAAAGAATTGAAGAAGCTTGGTGTTGTAAGTGCACAAACTTATCAGAACGGTTTCTTGTATATGCTATACATGAAAAGTCACAATTTCAACTGACAATGCATATACAATACCCCAGTGAAGATCCTTTCTGGTGAAATTACATCTTGTATTTTTTTAAACAATCTTGGCCACTCTTGGCAAAGGGATGGGAAGGGATTTTAAACCATAAAGGGATGTCAAATTCCTTGGTTTTGAAATCCTTTAGTTAGTTTTAAAAACAAGGATTCTTAAATTCTCCTGGGGTTTTCGAGGACAGACTTGGAGGTCCCATATGCACATACTAAAAGCTTTTAAAAGAGTTATATTTTAAAATCCTTAAAGCAAAGAACAAAAAGTGGAAAAGTTCAGGAGCCCTTCAGATGATCGAAATTATATATCTATGTGTGTATGTGTAAGACGACTTGTAAGGGAATTTTTTTTAAAAAATTTATTGGTTAAACTTACCCCCTAGGTTAGTGCTTCATGTTTCTTTGACGATACCTACATTTTTATTCTTAATTGATCAAATCCCAAACAACTAGATTTGTAGAATTTGTAGTTTTTCTTTCTCTCTAAGTCGTAGATACGTAATACAGTTTTGGCCTCTTTTTTACTTAACATGGATATAATGGAGAAACATTAACAATAAAGAAGAAAGAACAAATAAAATGCATTTAAAAAAAGAAAAAGAAATGAAGAGGTTGTTCTGGTTTTAAACAAATGGACTACCACCAATACATATATGGCAAGGGTTAAAGTATAGTTTTTATGTCTCTTTTTCAATTAGCACTATAAGTTGTTAGTGTGAATGTTTAAACCTCAAGGATTATTCCTTGTGCTCTCCTCAGGGCATAAGCTTTGTACCCATTTCAGAACAATGTTTTGGACATGAGTTGTCATGAATTCTTGGTTGATGTATCAAATTTTACATGGAATCTTACACAACATAAATGGAAGCATTCATAGATCCATGCTTAGGTTATTGTTAATACAATGCATGACAATGCTATTGTGTGTGGTATGTGATTTAGATGACGAGGACACTCCAGTTGTTAAGAATTTTGGGGATAGAGCTTCACATGGCTTTCAGTTGGATGAAACTCTTCGTGAAAAGAAACTAGCTGAGAAAAGTGAATCATCCTATGAAGAGATAAAGAGTAATGTGCAGAAGGAACTGGGTTATGAAGGTAATGAGAAAAATGCAATCAGAATTTTGGAACAGCCACTTGAAGAAGAGCACGTTGCTCGTGCTGTTCTTTACCTTGAGCTTGAGAAGGAGAGAAGTGCTTCTGCTACAGCTGCAGATGAGGCCATGGCTATGATACTGCGCCTACAAGACAAGAAGGCATCCATAGAAATGGAGGCTTGGCAATACCAGAGGATAATATAAGATAAATTTGCTTATGATGGTGAAGAAATGAACATCCTTAAAGAAATTCTTGTGAGGAGACGGAAAGAGAAGCATTTCTTGGAAAGGGAAGTTGAAGCTTATGATTCACTTGTTAAGAATTTTGGGGATAGAGCTTCACATGGCTTTCAGTTGGATGAAACTCTTCGTGAAAAGAAACTAGCTGAGAAAAGTGAATCATCCTATGAAGAGATAAAGAGTAATGTGCAGAAGGAACTGGGTTATGAAGGTAATGAGAAAAATGCAATCAGAATTTTGGAACAGCCACTTGAAGAAGAGCACGTTGCTCGTGCTGTTCTTTACCTTGAGCTTGAGAAGGAGAGAAGTGCTTCTGCTACAGCTGCAGATGAGGCCATGGCTATGATACTGCGCCTACAAGACAAGAAGGCATCCATAGAAATGGAGGCTTGGCAATACCAGAGGATAATATAAGAAAAATTTGCTTATGATGCTGAAGAAATGAACATCCTTAAAGAAATTCTTGTGAGGAGACGGAAAGAGAAGCATTTCTTGGAAAGGGAAGTTGAAGCTTATAGGCAGATGATTCATATTGGAAATTAACAGTTACAAGATGTCATTCAGTAAATGGTGAACACACAGAGAGAACAGGCTGATGCTCCAACAGCTAGTGAATCCATTGACAAGAAGGAAATTGTAAAAGATAAAAGTTCAGTTAATGAGGTATTGTCTATTGATAAGCAAAACTGTACACCCTTGCTCTTGGAGAGGAAATATGAATTTCCGGATGGGATGAAGAAGCTGATTTTCAAGCAAGGATATGTCTAGAAATCTGTAGCTTCTGGTCTACAGTAAAATTTGATGTCAGCAGTTGACAATGAAAGATTGAAAATTGACATGGAAGTTGAGTGACTCGGATACAGGTTAAGCATTGTGCAGGTACAAAGACAAAAGCTCAATTCTCTGTGGACTATAGGGAAAGGGAAAATTTTCAACTACAACATGTAGAAGATATAGCGTAACAACTTCGAGAGATTTGACAGCTGGCAGAACCTAGAAAGGCTGTGCACGAAGCTTCTTTGCCCCTGCCATTCTCTAAGGTTTTTTGTTAGATTTCTCTTTCATCATTATCTTCATCTATACCAAACACAGTAAGGCTGTGTTTGGATTATGCATTTAGGTAGGGATTTGGAAAGGTAAGGAGAAGGTGAGGAAATGAAGAAAAAAATTATCTTGTATTTCAAGCAAATTTCCTTCACCTTTTCCTTTCCAAAGACATATCCAAATCCATTGTCCAAACACAACCTAAGTGCACAAAGTTACAATGCTTACTCTCTTGAAGACCAAAACTTCACCCTCCTCACCATGCTAATATTCACTACAAACTTATTCCCACTCCTTTCTAATACCTTTCCAAATATGTCAAAAGAAACAGATACTTCTAGAAGGTCCAATCCCCTAAATCACACCCATACTTCAAAAAGCTACTATCATTCTTCATCATATATCCCTCTCACCCACAAAACTTTTCCTCTGCTTCCCCAATAAAGCTTGATTAGGCATTTCTAACTTCTTAATACCAAGTCCCTATCCCATAATAGGAGTACAAATTGAGCCCTAGTCTATACCAAATGGTTACTTGAATTCCTCCCCCATTCTACCCTACAAAAAATTGCTCCATTGCTTTTCTAATCTCTCGCTCTATTTGGTTCATTGGAAAGAGATGGAATGAAATGGAATGGCCATTCTTTAAGCTCTCCTATGGAATGATCATTTTCTTACAATGGTGATTGACTATTTCAGTTGCAATGCATATTTCATTATGGTTTTCAGTCAACCAAATATGTGAATGGATATATATATATATTTTTTTTGGTTACATCGGAAAGAAAAAACACAAACAAAGGGCTAAGCCCGTTCAGTGGATAAACCAATCATGTCCCTCACTAGTAAACTTCTAATTTCAGCTGGTGGTTCATTCACCGCCAGCATATCTTCAGGTTGTTCTGCTCCGAGTTTGGCTAGCGCATCTGCATAGAGATTGCCTTCTTTCCAAATGTGTTGGATTGTGCATTTGCAGCCTCTTAACAGAATTTTTGCATCATCCACTAAATTTCTGAAAGGGCAATTGGCCACGGTTTCTTCCTCTGGCAGCTTCACGACTTGTGTTGTGTCTGTTTCTATCAGTACATTGGATAATCCTATTTGTAAAATAACAGTGAGGCCTTTATACAATGCCCACAATTCCACTTCAAGGCTGGTTCCCATTTGCAGTTTGCCATAATAACCGCAGATCCAACCTCCTCGTTCATCCCGCAGTAGACCTCCAAAGCCTTCTTCTCCTCCAGCTTTCCTGCATCCATCTGTATTTAATTTGATCCGACCTGCAGGAGGTAAGCACCAATGAATAAGTCTGTAAGAGGGTCTAGGATTAAGGATTGAGTTGATGAAAGCTTGGTGGATCTCTATAGAGTAATATAAAATGAACTTGACACTCTTTTGGTAATAAGTAGATTTGCCATCAAACACAAAAGAATTTCTATTTTTCCAAATTTTGCATAAAGCCACAATAAAAACAGTGTACCAAGAGATGTCTTTACTAAAATGAGGTTTGTTTCTAGCATTACTCATTAGCCAATCCCTCCAAAGTTTCCCAACCATACTCAAATACCACTTTTTGCCGAAAGTAGCAATCCACATTTCCTTAGCTTTATAATAGTCCTTGAACAGGTGGCCAATGTCCTCAGACCCATTGCAATAGGGGCATGTAGGATCATTGGTAAGGCCTCTCTTCATTCTCATATGGTTAGTAAGCAACTTTCCATGGAGTAAAGTCCATAAGAAAGCTTTAGGTAGCGTTTGATAGAATTTTCTAAATATGATTTGAAAGTAGGAGTTGTATTTTGAGTTTGTGAGTTTTGGAATTATGATTTGAGTGTAAAAAATTTGTTTGGTGAATGAGTTTTAAAAAAAAAATTGAAAATGGTTTTGAATTGAGTGGAAAATTTTTTATGTAACATATGATATCTGATACAAAAATTTACAACTCATAACCAAACACATAACTCAGAAATCTATTAAAAACTCATAAAAAATTTTAAAAATTTTCAAAAATATTGTTTTATTAAAAATATATATATTAAAAAAAAAAGTGCCAATTGCAAAAAAAATCACACTGTTCAGGTCGACCGGCCGGACGATCGGTAGGCCAAATTTTAAAATTTAAAAGCCTGCCTGAAATGAGTTTTCAAAAGGAGAAGTAAAATTAATTTTCCAAAACTCAAACTAAACATCATACTAGAATATAGAGGTAGAACTATAATTCCAAAACCCTTCCAAACACAGCCTTAAGTTTTTGTGGGAGCCTAAGCTTCCACACCCATGTCCAATCTTCTTCCATGTGAGGATGCCCTTGAATAAGATTGTAGGCAAAGGAAACTGTAAACTCCCCATCAAGGGCCCGTTTCCACATTGGAGAATCCAAAATGGAGCTATCAGGAGGGACAGTGTTCAGAATTAGAGAAGCAATGGGAGATGGGAGTATGCTGTCATCATATTGATCATCTCAATTTCCATCATCTCCCATTAGTTTTCTAATCTTAACACACCTGGGATCATCACTGGAACTAGCAAGATTAGGGCTGGAAACAGATTCTTCAAAGGATCTGTCACCATACCACCAATCTTTCCACACATCAACAGTCTGGCCATCACCCACAGACCATTTAATACCTTTTCTGAGAGTGTTTTTAGTACACATGATGCCTCTCCAAAGATGAGATGCTTGCCTCCCTTTAGGCCAATCCTGCAAAGAAGTATTTTTAAGATATTTGTTTCTAAGAACCTCACACCACAAGCCTTCCTGTCTTCTGACGATATTCCAGCCCAATTTAGAAAGTAGGGCCAGATTTTGGTCTCTAGCTTTTTTTTATACCAAGACCCCCATTCCTTTTCATTCTGCACACCACATCCCATTTAACAAGGTGAATTTTTTCCTTTCCAGGGTATCGCCCCAAAGGAAATTCCGGTTCAACTTTTCAATTTCATTACTCACCTTTTTAGGAGCAAGCATTGTTTGCATAGTGTAAGAAGGAATAGCAAAAGTCACTGACTGAATTAGTGTGGCTCTGCCAGCCAAAGATAACACATTAGCCTTCCACCCAGCCAATCTTCTTTGCATTTTGCCAAGTATATCATTAAAGTGTCTAGTGGTAACCCTCCCATGAATTAGGGTAACACCCAAGTATTTCTGTAATTCAGTAGTGAGAGGAATGCCACATTTATTGCTCAAATCTTTGGTTGTCCTGCTCTCAATGTTAGGAGAGATACAGCTTGGACTTGTGGGAATTAATTTTCAACCCAGAGATTTCACAAAACTCATCCATAACCTGCATTATAGTGTTGCAATTTGACATAGTGACCTTCCTAAATAGCATGAGGTCATCAACAAAGAATAGGTGTGTGATTGAAGGACCACCTCTAGTGACCTCAATCCCTTTCCAAAGCTTGTTCTCAGCTTGGAGGCTAATCATATTGGATAGCCTCTCTATACACAACACAAAGAGGTAAGGAGAGAGAGGATCTCCTTGCCGCAGACTTCTTTGAGGTTTAAATTCTTGAAGAGGTTCACCAACCCAAATAATAGCAATGCCAACATTAGTAACACAACACATGATGAGGTCAATAAGGTTAACGTCAAAATCAAATTCAAAAAGGGTTTGTTTGAGGAAATCCCAGGAGATGTTATCATAAGCTTTTTCCAAATCTATTTTAAAAATCATACCCCCGTTCTTACCCTTTTTGTGATTCAAAGTGTGGATGATCTCATGGGAAATTATTATGTTGTCACTAGTACTTCTGCCAGGGATAAAGCTACATTGGTTAGGTCTAACAATGTTATTCAAAAAGGGTCTAATCCTACTCATAATGATTTTGAAAATAATTTGTAAGACACATTGCAAAGGCTGATGGGTCTAAATTGTTGAATTCTCTCAGGGTTGTCAATTTTGGGAATCAAAGCAATAAGAGTTTTGTTAATATCAGAGGGAATATGGTTCTTAACAAAACAGTCTTGCACAAAGTCACAAACAGAGGCCCTATGATGGACCAAGAATGATAAAAAGATGATTGAAACCTATCCCTCCCAGGGGCCGTAAAAGCATGAATACTCTTCACAGCCTACCAAACCTCCTCATTAGTAATTCTTTTAGTAAGTTTGGGGTTGATCTCCTGAGCCACCTTGCAAACCACCAAATTATTCCAGTGATCAAGAGAGGTGGTAGGGGAGTAGCTAAAAAGATTAACAAAATAACTGGTAATCAGATTCTTGAGTTGGTCAGGCTGATCACAACAACCCCCACTATCATTTCTCAACATCTCAATCTTTCTCTTTTTCCTTTTGGTGATAGTGGTAAGTTGGAAAAATTTTGTATTCCTCTCACGTTGGGTAATCCAGTTAGATCTAGATTTTTGAAACCACAGAAGCTCTTCCTATTAAAGCACTTTATTATATTGATCTATGAAGCACCGACACGTTCCCATGGCTTGCGTACGAGCGGTGGACACATGTCTGACACTCCCTCTAACGTATCCTCTTTTTTTTTTTTTTAATTTTTGCAGTCGGAGACACCATGGACACGTTGTGACACTTTCCGGACACGCATGAGGTGTATCGAAGCCCTAACTGTTGGAGAGAAAGAGAGAGAGATCGAGGGAGGAGAGGAGATAGAGAAAGAGAAAGAGATCAAGAGAGGAGAGAAGACAGAGATCGAGGGAGGAGAGAAGAGGAGCGCTAACCTGTTCAGATCAATTGAAGAAGCTGAGGTATTCTTCATCTGCTCTCTTCTTCTTCGTCTCGTCCTCTTCGTCTTCTTCTCCTTCTTCTCCTCCTCCCTTTTCTTCGGCTTCTCCTGTTCTCTCTCTCTCTCTGATTTCACTTTCCTCCCTTTTGCTGATTCACTGTCTCCTCTTTTTTATTTCACCTCTATCTCTCTCTCTCTCTCCTCTTTTATTTTCTTTCCTCTCTTTTTTTTTCTTTTTTCTTTTTTTATCCTTATTTTTGTTAAACCTAAAATTCATAAAATAAATTATTTTTATTTAAAAACTCATTTTTTATTAATTTTTTTAAAAAAAATATGTTTATTAATTTTATTATTATTGTAATTGTATAAAAATTAATGATTTTCTTTTTATTTTAGACATATAATAAATAAATAAAATTATATATATTAAATGTGTCCCCAGCGTGTCGTATCTCCCATTTTTTTAAAATTTGCGTGTCTTCGTGTCCGTGTCATGTCCTGTGTCTGTGTCCGTGCTTCATAGATATTGATCGATAAAATCTAACTCAAGAGTATGAAGATTATGAGAATAGATGTTGGCCTAAGATTTTTGAATGCCTTCTATCCTTTCAAGTAACCATCTCTTCCTTCTAAAGATATTGCCAAAGACCTCTTTGTTCCAGACACTAGCTGCTTGAGCTAGTTTTTGAAGGTTATTACTAAGGGAGGCAAGGTTCTTGGTCCAACTATTATCAATAGCATTTATGAAATCCTCATGAGTTATCCAAGCCACCATGAATTTAAGGGTTTACAAGTGGGATTAAAGGGAGACTTACCTTGAGTAAACACCATCATAGGGGAGTGGTCTGAGTAGGTGCGAGGGAGATTCTGAGCTGCTCCATCTGGGAAACTGGTTCTCCACTTTGTATTGCACAACGCTCTATCCAACCTTACCATAGTATTTGCCTAGCCTTTTCTGTTGTTATACCAAGTCAACCTAGGACCTGAACACCCTAGATCCATAAGATTGCAATTATCAACCCTTTCATTGAATTTCCTTCTCCTCCTCTGATCTTGACTTAGGGACTGGTTCAGGTTACCTTGTAGACTTTGTTTTTCATTAGGTATGGTGAAGTCATTAAAGTCAACAGCAACTAATAGGGTTTGGTCATATGACGAGCAACTTCCTCCAAATGATCCCATAACTCTTCTTTCAGGCTGCTGTTTGGACTTGCATATACAGCTGAGAGCAGCCAGTTTGGGTAGTCCTGCCTAGAGATTGTAGCAATGATTTGTTGGGAGCTAGCTTCCACCACTCTAACATTTACTATGTTTGGGGTTCCAAATCATCCAAATATCTCCACTACGGCCAATTGGGTCTACATGAGCTGAAGCTGTAAAGCCCATACCATTGAAGAACAAAACCATAGCCTTAAACTCAACTTTAGTTTCTATAAGGACAACCAGGTCTGGTTTATGGATCTATACTAAGTCCTTCATATTCCTTTTAAACTTTTTATTCCCTACTCTTCTGCAATTCCAGATTAGCAAATCCATAGATGGTATAGCTTGTTGTAGTAGAGGTGCTTGGCTATCTAATGCCAAGTAGCCTCTGATGGCTTTGAAATTATCTTCCATCGACTTCAGTGGTGTCATTGATAGGTAATGCATATCCTGGTTTGCATCCACCTGTCTCCATGGTTGAAGCCTCAACTTTACTGCCTTGTTCCACCATTCTGAGGTGATGAGGTGAAACACTTCTTTCCCTGGGGATAGACACACCAATACTCTGTTCTGATGCAGCATGTGCTTCTCTGTAGGGTAGTTTTCTCCTTCCTCCTCCATTTTTATCGGGGGGAACTCGGAATTTGGTTCTAGAGTTTATTCGAGTAGAAGAATTTGTGAAATATGAGCTAGGGTTGGTTGGGTGAGTGGGTGGGTGGGTTGTGGTGGTAGAGAAATGGTGTTTACTACTCTGTGGATTTGATGTCTCACACTCCCCCATTGCTGCTACTTGATCTCGTATCTTCATGTCAATGCCACCTATAGTTCCCATTCGAGCTTCCTCACCTTTCTTTTCAATAGCCATACCAAGGCTAATTATCTCAATTGTTTTTGCTGATGTTCTGGCCTTGTACCGAAAGTCCCCATCTACGTGGACTTTTCCTTTTCCTTTTTCCTTGCTTACTTGGGATTTGGGGCCTGGGTGGTCCCCTTCCTTACGTAGGATCTCAAATCTATTATTCTGTTGGGTATTAGCACCTCTATGCACAGTTGGGCCTTTTGATTTTCTTCGTTGGCTTGGAACAGTCATCCATGGCCCATAATTCCTTGGGCCTACCTCATCTCTATGCTCTTTCCCACTTGGGTTTGGTCTAGAACTGACTGGGCTTCCATTGCTTTGGCTTCCAACTCCATTCAGTGCCTGGCCTTCTTGCAGCGTCGCCAGAATAGGTTTATCACTGCATGCCTCTCTCCGATGACCAATCCTGCCACAAGAAAAACATAGTGAGTGTAAATGTTCATATTCAACTCCATAAGTGCGTTTACCTATAGAAAAGTGAGAGATTAGGGGCTTTCTGAGGTCCATTTCAATGCAAACTCTTGCATATTTGCCTCTCGCTGCCATGGCTGTATTGATGTCGATCTTGAGTGGAACTCCAATAACTTTTGCAATGTGGTAGAGGATTTTCTCATTGTAGTACTCAATGGGGAGATTAGAAAATCTCACCCATATCGCGGTAGTATCCTCCTCCGCTTCGTCCGATTTGAAGTCTTGTTGCCATTTCCGCACTGTGACATAGTGATCCATTACAATCCATGGTCCTCCAGTATATACCTTGGTGTAGTCATCAGTCATGTCAAACTTAACAATGAAGAATCCGTTACCAATGTCTAGGGCTTCAAAGTCTGCTTGGAGCCCCCAAATCTTTGTCATCTTGATCATGAACAGTTTATACCCTATGGTTTTCCCCAATAGCCTCACAATCAAACACTTTTTCCATGGCTCACGCACTTTCTTCAAGAGGCCTGGTGGTATCTTTACTTTGGGTATCCCATCTCTGGCTTCCTCCATAACCTCATCATCTAGCTCCAACCTCTGATCAGTATTTGCATCCTCCTCGTCTGAGGAGAGCTCCTCCACATCGCAATCAAAAAAAATTTCATTTCGGTTTTCGTTGAATCTCGAACGGGGGAGTGCTTGCTTGAAGGATCTAGTTGATTTGTTATTTCCATTTGGATTGTGGGTGGATCTTCACCTGGTGGGCTAGATGGGTCTTCCTTCGACTGTTGCTCACAGTGAATGGGATTTTGAACATCCTCAGAACCCTTCACCAATTGACTTTCAGCCATGGTATTATCAACTGGCTGCTCTGTTGCACTTTTAATCTTCTTCTTGCTGCGGCTGAGGAGATCAGTCTCCTTCGTTGAGCAGCCATCATTGTGTTCTTCTTCAGGTCGAATGGAATGATTATTCTATTCGACTTCATTCTATTGGACCAAACACCATCTTAGCAGCAGTGATAGTAACAACATATGAGGACATAAAATGTGTAGGAAAACTCGATAAAGTAATGTTGATTGGATTACGTAGTAAAACTCTACAACCAAGTTTAACAGCTAGCGAGTCAGTGTTAGATACCTCCTCTTTGCGCATGAAGGCTCTATTGATATCTCCACCAACTAGTTCTTCCTTCAGTTTTTATTCCTAAAGGTTCTTCTGACACTCTTTATGTTCCCTGATTAATTGTTGTTGACTACTAGAATTTCTGTTATTAGCATAGTTTTACAAAGCCTCCGCAACAGTTGCTACCACCTATTACGGCCGCTATCGTAATGGCCGCCACGTTGCGTAAAGGTCGTAATGGCTGTTACGGTGCCATTACAATTTCGTTGCCGCCATTACAATCATTACGCTTTTATTTTTTTTTATTCATAGATTTTGTATATAAAGAAATTTTTCTCTTTTCTCTTTTTTCTAGTTGTTAAAAATGCACAAAAAGAATATAGAACTTATGTGAAAATCTTGGATCTATGAGTTTTGAATGTCCAATCTTTAAAAACTTCTACAAGACTTGAGTTGATATTAAAGTTAAATGAGCTTACTTCTCTCTCTCTCCCTCTCTCTCTCTCTCCAAACTTCATTACCTTTTTATTGAAAAGCTTTCGTTAATCTCATTCGATTCTTTGAAATATTAACTTATCTATTGTATCTATATTTGCTCTTTGGTCAAATTTATTCATTTGACCTTTGCCGCCATTACGATCATATGCTTCTATTTTTATTTTATTTTTTTATAGATTTTGTATATGAGGCCATTTTTTTCTAGTTGTTAAAATCACACAAAAATGATATAGTACTTATGCGAATATCTTAGAGCTACACATTTTGAATGTCCAATAGTCAAGTTTTACAAGACTTGAGTTGCTATCAAAGTTAAATGAGCTTACTTCTCTCTCTCTCTAAACTTTCATTACTTTTTATTAACGAACTTTCATTAATTTCTCATTTGATTCTTTGAATATTATAATATTATATCTTTTTTTTTTTTAGGTAATAAATATTATAATATTATATCTATATTTGCTCTTAGGTCAAATTTATTGAACAAAATTTGTATATCATGTCAAGTATTTTTACATTAGTATGTTGATATTTTGTATTATGTATGTACTTACGTTTATGAGATTATCATTTTTAGTATTAAACATGTTTCCTTTTTTTTTTTCTTCTTAACAAGTGGGAAGTTATCTACAAGTATAATTAGTAAAGTAAAGAAAATTAAATACATCCAACAATAGGAAAAATCCCTATAGTGACTTAAAGCTAACATTAAAATTAGTACACATATTGGATCATATTTAACAACTAAACAAAACATACGAAAATCATTATAAACCTCAGTAAATTTGATTTTGAAATAAAAACATGTTTGTTAGTATGTTTTCCTAAAGTTGTGCGAAGAATCAAAAAATTTATAGCTCCGGTCGATTGCCACCACTGTTATGTTATAGCCGTTCTTTTCTGCAGCTGCATCAACGCTACCGTTACCGTTATGGTAGCGGCCACCTTTACTTAAAACCTTGGTTATTAGGTAATGTCAAAGAAAAAGTGCTGTCAAAGTGTGGTGCTGTCAAAGTGTGCCTTTTGGAGTTCACAAACACTCATAAAGTATGAATTTAGTTGCTTCATGAATACATGTAGGCTCTTTTTGGTTCCCTGGAACAGTCAGGTAAAACGAAAAAGAAAGGGAAAGGAAATGAAGAGGGAAAAAGAGGAAGAAAAAGCAAAAACATAAAGAATCCATTTATTAGAAATGTGATTTTGATTTGATTGCGGGTTTCCTGCGTCCCCCTCCTTTGGTGGTTAGTCATGTTTCTCCATTTTCCTCACTGTTTTATAATGAAAACTGGGTTACTTCAAAGCAAGAAAATTCCCTCAAAATACTGTCCTTCACAATTTTCCAATACAGCCAAACAAAGAAAAAGTAAAATTCCATTTGATTTCTTTTTCCTCCTAATTTGTACATCTCAAAAAGTATTTGAATGCTTGAATATTTTCATCTGCTTGGAAATTCTTATTTTAGATGAAAAAAAAAAAAAAAATTGGGGTTAATTACCTTGGATTTGTTACTCCTTTAGGGTTAGTCATCTGGGCTCAACATATTAGTTGTCTTGAGACATTCGCTTCAACCATAGATCTGCTGTATTCATTAACAGGATTGTGGGATCCTCTCTAACAAAGGACATCATCGTCGAATGCAGTTTGCTGGATCATTTTCTTGGGGTCCTAGAATTGTTGCAACAAGTGGATAAGAGGTATGTAGTTTCTAGTTTTCTCTCATCAGTGTTGTAAATCCCTCCTAGCCACAGAGTACCAATGTAGGGGTACCACTTGACAAATAGGTCTTCATGGATGGCACTGGTTCAATTTATTGTATGAAGTTCATAAAAAGGCAGTGTGTTATGACCAGATAGTATTTATTATTTATTCATTATGATTTCTTAAATTTCATTACACGCACATTGATTAAAATCATATCAATATTATCAAAAATGTTATACAACAGTAGTTTATGTTTCAATCATTTGGTACTTTCCCTGTCAGTTCTAGTTCTGCCTGTAATCACATATGTGGCATGATTTTTAGAATCTTCAAAGTAAAAGATTGCTTTGATTTTTGCATTTGGGTGTTGGTTGTATGTTCACGAGTATGTAAAAAACATTATGCATTTTTGGTGTAGCAATGCAAATAAAATCCAACATTTGATGGTTGATATATACGGTTAAAATTAGAAAAACCAAACCAAATCAAACTTTAAGTCTTATCAAATGGGGTCGACTATATGAATCATTCTTCTCCTATTGACTTTATTCAAGGTCATATCATTAGTCAAATTAAAGAGATTAATATTTCTATTTACTACACTAGCTCACGTCAATATAGATTTGCCCATTCCCCTAACACTTCCATCTTCTGTCAGTATATCGCATCCCTTCACTACTGCCTCTATTGGTCTCTGTTGTATATGACCAAATTATCTCAATCTATTATCCCTCAGCGTATCTTCTATCAATACTACTCCTACCCATTCTTAAATATACCCATTCATAACTCTGTCTTTTCTAGTCTTGCCACACATCCACCTAAGTATCCTCATTTCAGCAACATTTATTTTATCTAAATGTTGTTTTTTAGTTGCCCAACATTTCGTCTCATACAATATCATTGGTCTAATAGTTGTTCTATAGAATTTCTCTTTTAGTCTAGTAGGTATTCCTTTATCGCACAGTACTCTAGACGCACTCTTCCACTTAAGCTACCCCACCTTAATTCTATAGACTACATCCACTTCAATCTCCCCAGAAAATAACAAAAATGTTCACTCTTAGGTAGTGTCGATAATTAAAAGAAAGAAAGACTCCAATATTAGCAATTACTCTTTTTCTTTTCCTCTCAACACCAAATGCATTTGTAGTTATGCTTGATAATTTTAGATAAACAGATGCATTTGTCTACAGAGTTAGGTAAACATAGTGGTGTAAAAATGGCTTGGCCTAGCCTAGGTCCGCTTGGCTCTCGCCAAAAATTGGACCGGACTGTGGCGGCCTAATTCCAAAAAGTATAGGCCTAGACCCATGGGTAATCGGGTTTCGGGCCTTAGGACTAACTTTATTTTAAAATTTTTTTTTTCACCAAAATAGCTTGCAAGTGATGTTGGGCGCCAAGGTGGGTCTAGACTAGGCTGGTCAGGCTGCGCCTCAAGCAGGCTTCATGTTGGCAGGCCATTTTTACACTCCTAGGTAAACCTAGGTGAATAGTTATAAGTCCTCTTGTTTGAGTCTTGTATTATTGAGTTTTCTTGGTGAATTTTTGTTGGGTGTTGAGACCGTGATTTTTACCCTTTTGGGTTTTCCACATAAAATCTTGGTGTTTTTATGTGATTCCTTATCTGTGTGTATAATCGTTTAGAGGCTAAAAATTGAGTAATTAATAAGAATTTTTATTAATTGGCTTTTTCACCCTCTCTAGGTAAGTTTATATTTCAAGGAACATGTTGGGAATAGATGTCTGGCTTTTTAGATGAGTCCAACATTTATACTAAGCTCAAAAATAAAAATATTGTTGTTAAGACTTGATAAAAATAAATAAATAAATAAAATACGGGTCCAATCCAGTTTATCCAAGGTCTCGTTTGGAAACAGGCTAATTTAGTAATTTTTTGGCTATTTGACTAAGGTAAGAGCTAAAAAAAACTAGTATGCTTTGAATGACTTTTTAAATTTTTACGAAAAGATGTGCAAAAAATAGAGAAAAAAAAATCTTTAACTTTTTAGTATGTATTGTTAATTTTTTGACTAATTTAATAACTTTTTGACTTTTTGACTAAAAGATAGAATTCCCAAACGAGGCCAAAAAGCCAATTGTAAATATTTAAAGGTAATAGACTGCTGTTTTACAAATGTATGAACTGTTAATAGAATATTGTTGATTATATTAATTATAATTGTTTTCTGATGAAAACTTTTATTTTCAACATCAAGTTGATCAAATCTTACTTTCCGCCTATGCCACAAGAAAGATTGAATAAATTAATTATGTTAATGATATGTTAGATAATCTAGATTATACAAATTTAATTAATAATTTCCTTATTAAAATATTATGAACTAGTTTGGTGAGAAAAGTTATAATATGAAACTGTAGCAGGATTTTTCTTAATGTTAAATTAAAACCTCCATTTGGAGAATCCTATCATCCAAACTAACCCAGATTGCCCGTAGGGCGTTTTTGGATGGATGTGAATTTTTGAATTTGCATATATTGGGAATTTAGCTTTTAGGACAATTAAAAATAAAAATTAAAAAAAAAAAGGTCAAAAAACCAAAAGTTAGACCTTACATGGAACTTAGCTTTTAAGTATTAAACTAGCTATTGTTAAAACCACTAATAAGATTCAATACACAAGAAATGTGAGACTTGCAATTTAGAATTCACAATTTATCTACAATGACATGATAATTATTGAGTTTGTGATAAATCAAAAATTTGACATGAAACATGCCATATCATTGTGGATAAATTGTGGGAGTATTATTCAAAAAGAAAAATGTGTAGTCTCAGAACATGCATCATTATTAGTAAAGTTTTATTCTTATTGGTAAATGTGGGATCTAACTAACAGCCTCTTGCTATCCATTGGAGTCAGCGACACTTCCTCCGCCATAGACACTGGCGTCAACAACTTCTTCAGCAGTGGGGGGCTGCTGCTCAACAAGGTCAGGGAGTGGGACTTGGAGAAGAGAAGAGAGTCCTCTGCCACGCCAACCTTCCTCAAAATACCTTCCCAATTGTTCGTGAAGATGCCATCTTGTGGGTTGGTCAGTTGATCCTTGAATTTCCCCTCCTCACCTTCCTCAAAGAAGCCTTCCTCACACCAGGAGGATTTGTTTCCTTCGTCATTCAAGCTCTTCTTGAAACTGGTTTCTAAGCTTTTCAGCTTGGTAATAGCCTGCCAGAAGTCCTCTTTAGCATATCATCAGCAGCTAGCCTTTCTTCGTCCACCTGAATTTCCGGCATAATCTGTTTCATAGAGAAGATACACAAATATTCACACTAATAGTATGATGAAAAGAAAGGACAAGGTGCAAAGGCCTATCCACAACCACCCTCTCTTCTGGAGTTGAATTTACTTGCCGCTCCCCGGTATCATTTAAGGTGGTGGGGTGTTTTTTATCAGCCTCCTCCACCATCTGTTGCTGTTTGGCTACCTTCTTCGTTGCTTCCTTTGTTTGCTTGGTCATATGAGCAGGTGGGAGAGGAGTCTTCTTCTTCTTCTTCTTCTTCTTCTGGTGTTGCTACTACAGGTTCAATCTGAATGGAGGATATGTAAGATTGCACTTCCTCTGACTGGATTCGTCGAGAATGGGTTAGTCGTCTGTATTTGGGTAGGCCCTCATTCTCCAAGTGAATGTCTGCCCCAAATGATGATCCATTGTTAGCGAGCTCAGTTGGGCCTACAAAAAAATAATACATATCATGTTCGTAGTTGATGATGCAAATGGGACATCAGGAATCATCTATACCATCTATACTACTAGATGAGGAGCTTGGAATGGAGGGTATGTAAGATTGCACATCCTCTAGCTGGATTCGTCGAGCACGGGTTAGTCGTCTGTGCTTGGGTAGGCCCTCGTTCTCCAAGTGAATGTCTGCCCCAGATGATGATCCATTGTTAGCGAGCTCAGTTGGACCTGCAAAAAAAAAATACAGATCATGTTTGTAGTTGATGATGCAAATGGGATTTTAGGAATTATCTATACCATCTGTACTACTGCATGAGGAGCTTGGAATGGAGGGTATGTAAGATTGCACATCCTCTGGCTGGATTCGTCGAGCACGGGTTAGTCGTCTGTGTTTGGGTAGGCCCTCGTTCTCCAAGTGAATGTTTGCCCCAGATGATGATCCATTGTTAGCAACCTCAATTGGGCCTACAAAAAAATAATACAGATCATATTTGTAGTTGATGATGCAAACGGGACTTTAGGAATTATCTATACTAATTTATAACATCAATTCTAAAAATGCTAAGCTCATCACAAATTGACTTATCAAAAAATGTTGTAACTAAACTATAAACTATATTTTGTGTAGGGTACATTATAGGAGAAGAATAACCAAATAATAAATTATATAGGAATATTTTGATTTAGTATAAGATAGCTTACAAATATTTTGATTTGCGGTTCAGATGGTGAAAATTTTGCTATGCAATGGGTTCCACAAACACTCGAGCAAAAAAACACCAGTTGAACTAGATAAAACTAGGAAGTCCCGATTTTGTCAACTGGAAAGAAATTCTTAAGAGGAAAATCATTGAACATAAAAGGGCCCTTGGAAATAGCAGTAGCACTGTGATCAGTTTTAAACAGAATAGATATGGGAATTGGACTCACCCAAATTTCGAGTTGTGGATAATGATGATCCATCTCTCACTGGTTCTTCAACTACGTTGCTGCTGCTGCCATGGTTCTCTGACAGCATTGAGTAAACGTGACCCATGCTGGGTCGTAATTCTGGATCATATTCGGTGCACATTATCCCAATTTGTATGCACAATTCTACTTGATCACGGACAACCGATGGTATCAATTTCCGGTCCATAAAATCAGACACCCTTCCTTCCTTGTAGAGCTCATTTGCCTTCGTCAACAACAAATAATCATGTCACAACTCAGCAACAAGTGCAGTCAGAGACACCTCCCTTGTATGATAATGGCTAATTGCAAATAAAACTCAGTTCAAATTAAAAATGTGAATCAAGTGTGCTTACCCTATCCCGTAGACCTTGACCACTGGAAGACCGATCATGAGAAAGCCAATTCTTCTGACCACTTATCAACTCCAAAACCACTACCCCAAAGCCGTATATGTCTGCCTTCGGAGAGACGTGTCCACTACACTTGTACTCGGGAGCCGAATACCCACTGATTCCATGTACAAGCATACATTAACAACAAATCAAGTTTCAAAAAGTTTGGTTTGGTTTAAAAATAAAAATAAAAAGAGGTTTTTGAGAACTCAACAAAACGCTGATCGAATGGATTTGAAATTTTTTTTTTCCCTTTGAAAAAAGAGTAGGATTCAGTGACAACATATAGAGAATTTAAATTATAACCTAAATCAAATTGCTAAAAAAAAGATACTAGGAAAAATAAGACAAATTATATGCTTAACACATACAGGGTACCGGCAGCTTCACTGATATTAACTTGCGTTTGATCTTGAGGTAAGAGGCTGGCTGTGCCAAAATCAGCAATTTTGGGGACCCAATTTTCATCTATTAGGATGTTGGCGGGTTTGATGTCACAGTGGATAATTACACTGTGTGATCGTTCATGAAGGTAAAGCAAGGCCCGGGCAACACCTACAATTATGTCATATGTTCGCTTCCATTCAAGCACATCTGCCCTGCCAGTCTCTGAATCTAGAGCATCAAAAATAGTACAAAACTTTGAGATTAGTTGCCACGTTGAAAATGGTGACTTAATTCAAAAATTGTAGTATTATTATACAATTATTGTTTTTCGAATGAAGTATTATTATACAATTAATTTATATTATGTTTGATGCAAATTAGAAGAGAACAGACGTATAAATCCATGAGTATATCCTTCCCAGAACGAAAGGTGTCTTCACTTCATGTGTAATTTTTTTTCTTTGCTCAAATGAATGATTGTTCCTCATGTTTTTTCAAAAAAAAAAATTTAATCAGTAAGAAAGAGAACTTTATTGATGATATGTTAGACACAAAGAACATAACATACATCAAAAAAGCAAGCAAAAGCTACAAGTATCATATCTAAACGATCTCAACTAGGTTAACACCGCAAAGATAGTGCAATCACATGCTAGCAAAATCCCAAATTGATGAGAGGCCAACCAACAGAGCAAAGTAGGAAACAAAAAAAAAACATCAACACCAGTCACACCCAATGATCAATGGCAACCAAATAACCCCAAATCCCTTATCATTTTAGATTCAAACAAATATTTATTTATTTATTATTTTAATAATTTTAGATTATTTAAAATTGCAAGTCTATGGGAGAGTCTTTTACTGGTTCTCATTAATTGCAATCTTAGCAAGATAATATAAAATGGTGATATTACTTAAAATTAAAAATACAGTAGGTGATATTAGTACTTACTAAAAAGAAGGTAATCAAGGCTTCCATTACTTGCAAACTCAAATACAAGCAGCATCTCTTCACGGTGTGAACAAAAGCCCAGAAACTTGACAATATTTCGGTGGTGTGCAGACCCCAGCAGCAGTTTCAACTCGTTCAGGACAAGTTCCTTTCCCTTGTCTGAGATCTGCAAAGGTCTCTTCACCGCGATCTCTCTCCCATCATTCAACTTTCCTTACACTACAAAAACATTTTCAGTCAAGGATATGGATCCAAAATTCAAATTTCAGGGGAGGGCAAAAACACATATTTTGAAATTATTTACTCATATATTAAGATCCATCCTTCCTTTTTGTTGACGTATGTGGTTCATTCTTCGTTCATCAATAAAGTTCATTTTTTCCCGACCAAAACAAAAAATATTGGGCTTGTTTGTTTGATTTTAGGAGAGATTTTTTGAAAAAAAATTTCTAAAATTTTGTTTGGTTTGTGGTTTTTCTTAAAATTTTTCAAAATCACTTTCGCCTTGTTTGGTTTGTGTTTTCTAAAAATTTTTGAGAAAAATTCTCTATAAATAAGCTTTCAAAAGTAATCAAACCAAACAAATTTTTCCAAAAAAAATTTCTCAAAACTTGTTTGGTTTACAAGTTTTTCAAACAAATCTCTCTCTCATACACATCAAATCAATCACTTTTTCCAAAACTCTCTCAAAATAATTTTTCAAAACATCTTTTGAAAAAAATCAAACCAAACAATTTTTTATACTTTTTATCTGTAAAACTCATCTATCAAACTCAAACCAAACATACCCTTTATCTCTATTACACATCAATCAATCACATTTTTTTTCTCTCATACAAATTTACTCACTTACAACAAAATATCAAATCATCTCAAACTCCCAAACTACTTTCAAAATATACAACCAAACAAACTTAAAAAAATTTCTAAACTCTCACCCCAAATTTTTTTTTTTTTTAAATCACTGCCTTAAAAGCAAACCAGTACACACTAAGGTTGTGTTTGGATTAACCTTGTACACTTGAGCAAAGCCACCTTTGCCAAGCTTGTTTTTGGCATGGAAACTTTCTGTCGCAGAAGAAAGGGTTTTGAAACTGAACTCCTTCGGTCCTTGTTCTGCCACGATCTCCTGTGCATCTTCAATCACAACACAGCCACAAGTTGAGCACAAGAAGATGAAAATAACTATAAATACATATTTGGTGACTCAGATGTAAATCCGATTGGAAAAAAAAAAAACATTACCTTTCTTAGATTTTGTGGGTTTGAAGAAATTTCGTAATTTGCTTGATTTCGGCATGGTTTAAGAGAGAAATGAATAAAGGTTTAATCGCAATTTCAGATGGAGAGATCGACAGAGAGAGAACATTTGGATAAAGTAAAAGATGAATGTGTCTGCTTTTTCAACTGTTTAGAAACATATAGAGAATTTAAATTATAACCGGTTTTTTTTTTTTTTTTTGTCTGCTTTTTTATATCGCTTGAAAATGTGTTCTTTTAATAATTTTTTTATTTTTTTTATAAAGATATATAAAAAAAAATAAAGAGAGCGATATAATAATTTATAATAATTTTTTAACTAAAATATTTAATCCTCAAATCAAATCATAAACTATCTCTAATGATTTATCAAATTTAAATTTAATAAAAAAAAAAACTTATGCCTTGTTTGGTTTGTTTTTGAGAAATAAATTTTGGAGAAATTTTTTTAAAATTTTGTTTGATTTAGTGATTTTGAAAAAAAATTTCCAAAATCACTTTTTCTCTTCTACATATCAATCAATCACTTTTTCTCTCCTTTCTTCTTTTTAATTACTTTTTCTCTCACATATATCTACTCGACTACAACAAAATATCAAATCATTTTAGACTCTCATACTATAAAACTATTTCTAAAATATATAACAAAAAAACTATAAAAAAATTTAAACTCTTAATATAGCATTCAGGGGGGAATTTGTAATTTCTCAAACCTCAGAGGGGTATTTGTAATTTAGCCAAACCTCGAGGGGTGTATATGTAATTTGCCCTAAATTTTTTATCAAATTAAGGATCGATGTATTGAATGACTTCAAAGTAAAAATTTATAAAAAAATTAGGTTGATCAATCGCGTGTCCGATCAACTAATGATTTAATAAAATATCAAAATTTTTCATTAAAACACTTTATATAATAAAAAAAAAATTATCCAAATTTTTACTCAAATTTAATATTAAAAAAATCATCGTTAAAGATGTCCTTAGATAAAGTGAAAGAAGAATGGGTGGAAAATTATTCAGTATTTCAGAAATTCATCTCATCTATCCCATGTGGTTTCAGAGTGCTCTTTTTCGACTCAGTGGGCCCACCATGATGGCAACTCCGCTTAACCCTTAAGCAAATGTTAACGTCTGTTAACTTAGGGAGAAGAAAATTTGTTAGCTTTTAGAGCGAAGAAAAATATTATTTTATTTTCAAGATGATAACTCCAGCTCAAGATGGTATTTTCATTTTCTTGCTTTTTTTTTTTTTTTAATTATACAGGTTTTGTTTGGCAATTTTTAATTTTAGTTAAAAAGTTAAGAAATTATTATAAGTTGTCATATCATTTTTTTTATTTTTTTATACATATTTTTGTAAAAAACTAAAAATTTATTAAAATAACCTGTTTTCAAACGAGGCTCAGGATCCGATCTTGTAAGAATCCTACTCTATATATATATATAAAGATTTTCATGTTTGGTACATAAAAAAATATAAATCATTAGATTTAGATAAAATAAGAGTGGTACTATTAATATTTCATAAATTATTTTAAACCCTAGATCCTCACTTATAAATTTTGAAACTCTTAAAATTTCTTTCTCCCAAATAATACCAAAATCATTTTTATGAAAACATTCTACCCATTGAATGCACACCCCCCACTCCTCAAAAAAACTTCACCTCCAAAAGACCCTCACAAAGCCCACGAAGAAGAAAAAGAAGAGACAATGTGATTATTGTCTCTGTTGTCTCATCCACCATTGTCACAGTTAGTATGCTCTCTCTCTCTCTCTCTCTATATATATATATATACACACACACATAATTTCTTAATTTTCTCATAATAATTTCTTTTCTTGTAAAAAAAATTATAATAATTGGTTTAGTTTTCTCAATAAAACAGATCTAAACCTATGAATAATGTTCGGTTACATGTTTGCAAACAAATAATAAATATTCAGTTATCAGTTCCCAAACAAATAAACAATGTTTAAGCCTCTATTCCCGAATTTCGATTATCTGTTCGAGAGTTCAGTCTAGAAAAAATGACGAACATATTTTATTATTTTTTTCATTTTTTTTAAGAAACTTAGGTAGCATTTGGTAGAACTTTCTAAATATGATTTGAGAATAAGAGTTGTATTTTGAGTTTGTGTGTTTTATAATTATGATTTGAGTATAAAAATTTGCTTGGTGAATGAGTTTTGAAAAGAGTTTTGAATTAAGTGGGAAATTTTTGGCATATGATATTTGATACAAAAACTTACAACTTATAACTAAACACACAACTCAAAATTCTATTAAAGCTCATAATTTTTTTTTATAAATTCAGAAAATATTTTTTGTTAAATATATAAAAATTAATATGTCAATTGCCCAAAAAAAATAAAATAAAATTTGCACTGTTCTTGTCAATCGGCTGGTCAACCGATAGGACGACCGGTTAGCCTAAATTTTTCCGCCTTCGACCGTGGTTTTAAAAGTGAACGTGGCATTAATTTTTGAAAGATACAAACAAACATCATATGCAAACTAATGGGTGGAACTAAAGTTCCAAAACCCTTCCAAACACAACCTTACCCTTACAAGGTTAATCTCCTCTAAGTTAAGAACAACATCAAAGGTATGAACATCCTCAAAGATTTTGTTATTGTACTCCTCTCGTATTGTGGAATTGTAGTTACCAGAAAAACTTTCACTCATTGTCACTGTCGGAGAAGTGTAGGTAATCAAATGGTTGCCACCATTACCGCCAGAATATTACCGCCAAAGGGTCTTCAAGGTTTTGAAAGTGGATAGGTTTTGAAGGTGGGATTTGAGGAAGATGGATGGGTGGTGATGAAGGTGGGTACTCTCATAAACCCTAGTTAATAATGTAATAAGTGTGTAGGTTTAATTGTGAGATGGGGTGACCCAAAATGAATAATGTCATTTTTAGTAATTTTATTTGAGGTTATTATTGTAATAAAAATAATAAAATTAAAATTAAAAAAAAAAGATAAAAATTGGGGGTCCAAAATAATTTACGGGGTGCTAATAGAAGCACTCTAAGATAAATGCTAGTTATTGGATGAATTAAAAGTAAAACTAGGTAGAAAAAGTAAGGTGATTTTCCAAAAAGTAAAGTGATTTTGGTTAATTTTGAAATAAATAAAAAAAATAATGCTCACTTGCCATTTACTACAAACATACTTTATTATTTGGTATTCACTTACTTACTATTTGTTATGAACAAACTTACTATTTAAAATATTACTAGCTAAACAAGTCATCTTCAATTCTTGAAAATTGTGTCATCTTTTATATTTTGAATTAATTTTAAATACATAAAACTAATGACATATCATATTTAACTATTTTCCCTCTATATTTTGTCTTATTACGATTTGTAAAAAGTAAAATATGATATGTAAATATTAATTTGTTGAGATTTACTAATTTTGTAAAATAGTCATTGTTGTGAAAAATTAATTTTCAATATAATATTAAAAAAATTGTAAATAAAACATTTTTAAATTGCAAGTTATTTAAACTTAATTTTCAAAACATTAATTTAAAAGAGTTATTATTATTATTTTTACCTACAACACCTCAAAATAGTAATTACTGTTTAAGGGCCTGTTTGGTAACGTTTATATTTACTATTTTCTATTTCAGCATAATTTCATTGACTATTAACTTAAGTCTATTAAAGTGGTGTCTTATTGATTGATAAGTCATGTTTAATTAAGTAGGAAGTATAGTTTGCTTGAGTAGTAAGTGAAAAACTCAATAAATAATAACTAAAATCTAATAGAGTAGTAAGTGGAAATTGAAATATCTCATTGAATAATTTCTTTTCGTATAGTAGAACAAGCAGGTGGCTATGAGAATATTGGGTTCATACAAAATGACCTATACAACCATTTGGAACTGAGCGTAGAGCGCAAATTGTTGATGGTGACGCAAAAGGTGGTTTGCCTACTGTTTGCTTTGAAATGACATATTACTTTAGTATGACACTCTCTAAATGTGATTTTATTTAATAGTAAGTTAAGTTTGTTGAAGTAAAAAGTCGAGTATCAAACGTTTGATTGAGTAGTAGTCTTATGGAGTAGTAAGTAGAGTAAATGGAGTATCATTGACTAGTAAGCGATATTTGATTGAATAGTAAGTCAAGTTTAATGGAATAGTAATTAAGTGGAGTCTCATTGAGGGCTAAATGAAGTTTCATTAAGTAATATGTCGAGTCTAATAGAGTAGCAAATGGAGTCTCATTGAGTGGTAAATAAAATTTCTTTGAATAATAAGTTGAGTCTAATGGAGTAGCAAGTGGAGTCTCATTAAATAGTAAGTGAAATTTTATTGAATAATAAATCAAGTCTAATGGAATAGTAAGTGTGGTTTAATATGAGGAGTAATTCAAGTTTAATGGGATAGTAAATCGAGTATCATTGAGTATGACAAATCAAATGAAATGGCATCTTATTGAGTAATGAATGAATTTAATTGAGTAATTAGTAGAGTAAGTTAAGGTTTAGTGAGTAGTAAGTAAGGTTTAATTGAATAGTAAGTGAAGTCTTATTGAGTAATAAATAGAGTTTAATTAAGTAGTAAGCAAAATCTAATACAATAGTAAGTATAATTTCATTGAGTAGTAAGTGAGCTTTAATTAAGTAGTAAGTCAAGTCCAATTAAGTAGTGTCTTATTGAGTAGTAAGTCATATTTAATTGACTTGTAAGTGAAATTTGATTGATTAGTAAGTGGAGTCTCTCATTGAATAGTAAGTGAAGTTTAATATGATACAACTAAATGGGATTTAAATAAGTAGTAAGTGGGATTTAAATGAGTAGTAAATCAAATCCAATTGAGTGGTGTCTTTTTAAGTAGTAGTAAGTGGAGTTTGATTGTGTAGTAAGTATTGAGTAATAAGTAGTGTTTAATTGGATAGTAAGTCATGTTTGATGAAGTAGTAAGTAAACAATTAAAGAGTAGTAAGTGGAGTCTCATAAAGTACTGAGTGGAGTTTCATAAAATAGTAAGTGGGGTTTAATTTAGTAATAAGTAGAGTCTCATTGAGTAAAAAATGAACTATAATGAAATAATAAGTGGAAACTCATTGAGTAGTAAGTGAAACTAAAATTGAGTAAATAATAGAGTCTATTGAAGTAGTGAGTGAAAGCTC